AAATTATATATATAATATATATATATGTGTGTATATATATATATAGGCTATTATATAATATATATATATATATATATATATATATATATATATATATATATATATAGCATGATGTAATCCAATTGTGTTCCTTAGATACATAACTCAATGAAAAAGACGATGAGATGTCAACGACTTGGTAGACTTCGAACACAAATTTTATTCAAAACATGAATATTTCAACCCTTCCTCGGGTCTTCTTCAGCATGTGTGACAACAAAATATAAGTTGGCTATTACAATAATTATGATAAAAAGCAAAGTAAAATATGATTCGTCGACATTTTAATAGAATATAATGAACATGGTGATAGGACAAACACACTAAGGGGCGGAGTAAGAATAGAAATAATTAACAGATAAATTAATTGGGACCTGTATTTATAATGAGGCTAATATCAGTATGGGAACACAGATCTTAGTCGGCAATAACGATAATTGAAATAAACAATGACAGAATAAAGGTGCCACTTAAATTAAACCCCCTACAACATGGGGCAAATAAACAAAAATATGTTAACAACAGGCAAGTTCTATAATATAAGAAAGAGCCAGAAAGGCGGAAATAGAAACTCTTATTTGATATAGAAAAATACGGAAATATATATATAGGCCTAATGACTAAATAGAAATGCATATACAAAATAATAATAGGCAATTAAATGTGATAGATTAGATTTGATAGAAACTATACAAGTCAATGGGTCTATATGTTAAAATAAAATAATATTGGTAATATAATAATAATAATAATAATAATAATAATAATAGTCATATGAATTACTAAAAAGGATTAGGAATAAGGGAAATTATAGTCACTGATCATACCGAGGTCCTTGTTAAGTCCGAATATGTGGGTTTTGTGTTTGATGTGTCTGAGTTCTGATATGCGCCTTTTAGGGATGGGAATTACTGGCAATGAGAGAGGATTTGTTCTGAGCCAGTTGATTACACTTTCATTGTCTCCTCCTTCAGCATTTTTTACGCCAGAGATGAACCCAAGTGGATCTTAACTTGTGATTTTTCTCTGCTGATTCTTGTGTTTGTCCTCCTGTCTCTTGTTCTCGTCCTGTCACCTGTCTGTGTTTTGTCTTTATTTCCCTTGCTTGCCCTATTTTAAAGGCAAGACCTAGGCTTTCTGTTTTGCTCCTTTCTTTGCCATTTTTTTTGTTATAGGCCTATATATTTTATTATTGAGACTATTTTTATACTGATTTAATTTTAATGTTTTGGCAAATAAAGTGATTTTACTACCTAACTTCTTGGTTACCTCCTTAATCATGGATACCCCTTCAGCTTAGTTAAATCACAGTTTACTAGAGCTTTCCTTCCGTTCCCGACAGGATCTCCTCTCTCCAACAACTAAATCCGACTCCCAACGCATCCCCCTAGTCATGGACTTCCATACTAACACTCACCGCTTATCCAAAAACATCCGTAATGACTACACCCAACTTAAAGTCGACAAGTCCATCGAACACTTATTTGACAGTCCTCCTCTACTCGCCAATCGACAACCTCCGAATCCATCCGCAATCACAGTAAGGGTTTCCCTGTAGCCGACCACTTCAACTCCTCCGGCTATTCTATAAATAACATGCGCTGTACTCTCATTACCAGTAATTTCCCATCACTTAATGAAAGGTGCATATCAGAACTCAGACACATCAAACACAAAACCCACATATTCCGACTTAACAAGGACCTCGGTATGATCAGTGACTATAATTTCCCTTATTCTTAATCCTTTTTAGTAATTCATATGACTAATATTATTATTATTATTATTATTATTATTATTATTATTATTATTATTATTATTATTATTATTATTATTATGTTACCAATATTATTTTATTTTAACGTATAGACCCATTGACTTATATATTTTCTATCACATCTGTATTTTTTTAATTGCCTATTATTGTTTTGTATATGCATTTCTATTTAGTCATTAGGCCTATATATATATATATATATATTTCTGTATTTTTCTATATCAAATAAGAGTTTCTATTTCCGCCTTTCTGGCTCTTTCTTATAGAACTTGCCTGTTGTTAACATATTTTTGTTTATTTGCTATTTATCATGTTGTAGGGGGTTTAATTTAAGTGGCACCTTTATTCTGTCATTGTTTATTTCCATTATCGTTATTGCCGACTAAGATCTGTGTTCCCATACTGATATTAGCCTCATTATAAATACAGTTCCCAATTAATTTATCTGTTAATTATTTCTATTCTTACTCCGCCCCTTAGTGTGTTTGTCCTATCACTATGTTCATTATATTCTATTAAAATGTCGACCAATCATATTATACTTTGCTTTTTATCATAATTATTGTAATAGCCAACTTATATTTTGTTGTCACACATGCTGAAGAAGACCGAGGAAGGGTTGAAATATTCATGTTTTGAATAAAATTTGTGTTCAAAGTCTACCAAGTCGTTGACATCTCATTGTCTTTTTCATTGAGTTATAATATATAGATAGATGGATATAGGCCCTATCCAATTCGCAGTATGGGTAGGCTAAATTGTGAGTTTTAGAGGTCTCTATTTTCGAGTAGTGATTACGAAAACAGACTCGGGCATTTGAAAACAGAGACCCAGGTTTTCGAAGACAGAGACCCGGCATTCGAAAATAGAGACTAGGTGGGTTTTCTTTCTCTGGTGTCTGTTTTCGAGCACACCCGGGCTTTAATATGGGATTGTGTATTATTGCTAAGGTAATAAGATAAAAAACATGGAACCAGAAGCTGCTTAAGCATCACCCTTTTTCTTTACCTTTTTTTCTAGCATTCATTTTTTGTTTTTCAGCGCCTTGCATCTCTAGGTAAATGGCGCTTTATAAATCTGTATATTTTCTATGTTTATGTTTCCTCACACAAATATATGGGCGTTACTTTTTCTTCCAATCTAAAATGGCACTCTCATTTCGGAAATATTATTTCAGAAGTCTTCAAACACTTTACTTTAAATGATTAAATGAACTTTTAATTGTCACCCCATTCCTTGTTTTATTTAATTCCCGAATGCTCGTGTGTCGCCTTTCAATCCGTCCAAAGATATTTCTCGAACTCTGCTCACTATCTAAATAATATTGCATATCAACTACGAAGACAGACTTGCCCCCTCTTTATCTCATTAGAAAACGGAATAATATTTCTTAAGTCTCATTTTCATGTATAAAATAATTATTGACAAAATCCAAATCGAGTTATATTTCATTTAATACCGGTAAACCTCACCCAACACTCTTTCCTCGTGCCAGATGTAATGTACTTCATAATTCTTATTTAACTGTACACCAATCACTTGTCTCCAACAATCCAGTCTTTCAGAACATCATTAAATTTAACACTTTCACGATAGTCTAGCCCTTTATTGTAGCCTTCTATTGTGGTTGTTGATATTTCTTATTCGTTACGTATTTACTTATTTTCGGGGTTAACATGGCAACTTTACAATATATATTCGGCTAGGCCTATTTAATGAATTCGCTTTCGTACGTGGTACGATCCACTTACCTATACCACCTCCATGCCTATACTGAATACTACTCTGTTAACGGCCACGGTTTTACCATGGAGGAATTAGTTTAGATGTTTTTACTAAATAATGAATTTCCACATGTGTTGGTTTTGTAGCGTCAGTGGCGCACGCTCCCTAAATAATACAACTTCGCACGCCCCTCCTAGATACGCCACTGTGTAGAGACTTTTGGTCCTTTCTTAAGATAATGATGAACCAATAGTACCACAATGCTCTCACAATTCTCTCCCCTACTTTTGTGCTTCTTGCCTCAGTTTTTTTGCATATTAAAGATATTGTTAGTCTTTCAAACACAACCTTATCACAGAATCGTTGTCAATTTTAAATGAGACAAAGATCGAAACAATTCAGGTTTCGCGTTTAGGAAAGAAAATATTTATTGAAATAGGCTCACATTTATCTGATTGTGTAACAATTAATTTGACAATTGTCTTTCTTTTAAACAAGTACTTTAAAACTTACGGTTCATGAACTCTCAGTTGATTTCTATTCTAAAGTGCTCGTCGTCTAAGATGGGCGATTGTTAGTCTTATTCCTACTTAAACAGCATTGACTAGGCCTATATCATAACATTAAATTTGAAACAGGCATATAGAAAATAACAGCATCTAATTTTTAGACATCATCTTATCACAGAATCGTGATAGTACGATTGCCACAGCAGTCTATAGTTTCATAACGCATTTTATATTTTAGCAGTACCGTATTTTTACTCTACCATTTAAATAACATTAAAACTGAGAATAAAGTTGTGTAAAAGCAGGTTTTTGGAAGCTTCACTGGAATCATCAAAGTTTGGGTGTGGCCCTCGGTGTTCAAACAAAAATTCACTTTGGCCCTTTGCCCATCCCTGGCCTAAGGAATCCAAGAATGCCTATCAACATCCTTGCAGATAAGAGCGAGAAGTTTTAAACAACAGATGAAGCCTATATAAGAATCTTTGATGTAATTGCTTTTCATTTATAGACAATGCATAGTCCAACTTAATAAATGTTCTCGTTCTCATGAAAGAATATCTTACATACTGAGTAAGCAATTAATATATTGAAATAAATTTATTTTTCAGTAGTCGCTCAACACAGTATATTTTGGTTACATGTTATCCCAACACACGCCGACATTTGGGCAGGTTATTATTCATTGTATGTGGCTGGAAATACTTATATATAAAATCATATAAGTAATATATTTTATTTTTATTTATTTCTTTATTAGAACACACACACACACACAAAACCAATCATGGATAAAAGCACGGTAAAGTCCAAAAAAGTCAAAAACCTATTTCCATTGTGGTCCAAAATATTCAATATACAATACAGAATAAGAAACAATCAATGAATCATTAATACAAGAAATTAAAAGACAAATCAAATATTACTTAATCTTAACATTAATTTTCATTATAATATTCTTTGAACTGAAATAGGAAGTAAATTCCATAATTAAATGGCTGTAATTTGGTATACCAAATTCTGTTTATTAATCATAGTCTAATAAGAAATTGAAGTAGCTCTCACAAAAAACTATTAACATCCATTCCTATGTCAACAATATATTTTAGCTCAAACATCACGAGGAGTGTTGTGCTCCCTTTAAAACCTAAACTTCCCCTCTTTTGTTGGCCTACCATTAAGTCAACCTTGATGAGCACGGTAGGTTAAGCATCATTCATTTTGGATAATTAATGGGATATTTTGTACTGCATTGAAAGTTATTCTGAAACGTCATTTGGTTAGACGAGTGACATCTATTCCTCAACGTAAAATCCTTCTCGAAACAAATCCCAATTTCGATAAGGAATTGATGGCCCTGTACCTGCATATGGAAAACACACATAATTCGTCATTAATATAATTGGCGTGGTGAGGGCGTTTGCCTAATCGTTTAGTTCAGATGAACATTTTAATCTAATGTCTTGTATATGGTACTTTTAGTGAATCCTCAGTTAGTACTTATGAGCGTTGGCAATGCAGGCAATAAATCATGCGTTTTCATACTCAATGAGAAGTGGACCTTTCCGCTAGCCTAAGCCTTGCCTCTTGGATATTGTTTCTATAAGCTCCCATAAAAAGATAAAAACGCATTTCACTAACTATCTAGTATTTTGTTAATTTTGTTTGATTATATTATAATTGGCCTATATTATTTATAATATTGAAGCCTGGTTCTCACGAGAGCCCTAGTATCCGGATCGGGAGCTAACCGTTAGCACCTGCGTGAGAACGCCCGATCGGTTAGCGCTAACCGTTAGCGGTATCCGGATACGCTAACGGTTAGCAAGGGCCAGTGATTCTATCATCATATTGTTGGTATCCGGATCGGGATTTTCTCGCATGGACGCACGGCAGCTAACGGTTAGCAGGAGCCGGATCCTACTAACCGTTAGCTGCCGTGTGAGAACATAGCCTGTATTGTTTATGTTAAACTGGATGAGTGAGGTTCAGAATTTTTGTTTCAACAGTTAATAAGTTCTCTTCTGTGTCCATGTTTCTATTATCAACCAATCACACATGCGCGTTTACAATTTCCAGTTTCTTATTGGCCAGTGATTCTATCATCATATTGTTGGTATCCGGATCGGGATTTTGCCCACTCATTTAATTATTTTTTTTTTGTGAATAAAGAATAAGAATGAGATCATAGCGTAAATGTACGTAAACACGTGCGTTCGTGGGACAAAACATGTGTTTGTTTTGGACACGTGCTTATTTCTGGCACTGTTATCATTGGTCGGTTGTTAAGTAAGTTTTTGTGGCTATGTTCTCACACGGCAGCTAACGGTTAGCAGGATCCGGATCCTGCTAACCGTTAGCTGCGGTTCGTCCATACGAGAAAATCCCAATCCGGATACCAAGAATATGATGATCGAATCACTAGCCAATAAGAAACTGGAAATTGTAAACGCGTACGTGTGATTGGTTGATGATAGAAACGTGCTTACTTGCTAACCGATAGCGCTTGCTAACCGTTAGCGGTATCCGGATACTGCTAACGGTTAGCGCTAGCCGATTGGGCGTTCTCACGCAGGTGCTAACGGTTAGCGGCTATGTTCTCACACGGCAGCTAACGGTTAGCAAGATCAGGATCCTGCTAACCGTTAGCTGCCGTGCATCCATACGACCAAGATCCCGATCCGGATACCAAGAATAATGATGATCGAATCACTGGCCAATAAGAAACTGAAAATTGTAAACGCGTACGTGTGATTGGTTGATGATAGAATCGCGCTCAACTTGCTAACCGATAGCGCTTGCTAACCGTTAGCGGTATTCGGATACCGCTAACCGATTGGGCGTTCTCACGCAGGTGCTAACGGTTAGCGCTAACGGTTAGCTCCCGATCCGGATACTAGGGCTCTCGTGAGAACCAGGCTAGCGCTAACGGTTAGCTCCCGATCCGGATACAAGGGCTCTCGTGAGAACCAGGCTATTGACACTCCGGAAAGGTCCATTAAATGCCTCTTTGGAGTAATCGATACAAACAAATAATATAATATCGTAAAACTTCGAATAGAAAACCAATGGGCTTAATCTCGAGAAGAAGCCCATCTCGAATTGAAGCCCTCTCTTTTTCTGTTTGCAAAAGTAACCTTGAAAAGAAGCCCTCTCAAAATGAAATCCAAGGGCTTCTTTTCAAGATAGCATAGGCTTCTTTTTGAGACAGTACAGTACATACGCTGTACATGAATTTCAAAGAAACAAAATAAACAATTAAAATACGCTTGCTTTATACAGTAGGTGATTTATTGGTGGTTAATAACTTTATTATACAGACTGATGTTACAGTGGCCCTATTATTAGATAATTGAAACAGATTGTAGAAATTTTAAATGCGGAACTGAAACTATTTATTCTGTGACAGAACCGCAGATAACTGCAGAATACAGTCGTGTTTTACAATTGTTTGTTTCAAAACTTTCCATTTCATTTTGACATAATAAATTACAAATATTTTATGCAAACACAGACGAACAAAAAAGAAACCAACAGTGTATATAATATATATGCTATACAATTATTTTAGCGTAAATGCGAAATAGGTTAAATGTTATAAATAAATTAAACAAGAAATGTATTGTTACAAAAAATTTAAACATATTTGCAAATTAAACCACATAAACCAAACAAATATGAAGTAATGTAAATTTGACTGTAGAATAAAAAAAATCGCTTCAAGAACAAAAATAGTTCATCTACTTACAGCCGTGCAAATCACATCAGGATACACTTTGAAAGTGTCGTAGATGGCGTTAGTAATATTAGACACATAATAGTCATTCCCGGGTATGATGGATGCTGATCTTAAAGCCCTTAAAAATAAAATAGGCCTACAATAATATTTTGTATTTATTTAGGCCTAATTGTTTGTCTAGTTAGCTAGGCTGCAGCTACGAAATAAAACTTCTTAAATCGGCTCATCCACATGGGTTCATTTCATCTGGTAATACTGATCGCTACAATAACTCCGCAGTGATGTTGCAATTTGCAATCTCCACTCTTGTAAGAATGCTTAATGAACATTAATAATTGGTATTCATTAATCATTCTTACAACTAAATTAATACTAATAATGATACATTTCGGAAATTAAATTAAATCAAATTGATTTAGATGCTCTAATTGAGTATTAGTATAGTAATAATTTTACTTTTTATTGGCGTAATGAATTGTTTTCTTTGTTTTGTGTGCCTTTTTGATGTTCAAAATTTATTTTTTTTAAATTATTATTTGCAATCGATTTTGTATGTCAATACACTGACGTTAGCCCTTGGGCTTTTTAACTGTATATGGTGTATTTGCAATAAAAGACGTATTATTATATAAACCATTCAAAGTTTTTAAATTTTGATAAACGAATGAATATTCTTTTTGTCCAATAATAATAATAATAACTAAACCGACAAAATAGTTAACGGAACGAGCACTTCGATTAAATAATATGCATAGCCGCCTATAACAACACTTGTTCGCATACGTTCTTTCAGTACTTACATATCGATACTAAATTTACTATGTAAGTCAATCGCTTTTCTGAAATATTTCGCCTCTCCTTGAAGTTCAGGGCTGACTTGTGCACATGATCCATGTCTACACCATTCATGTTGCCTGCAGACATTAAAAAAATTGCAAAAATAACCAACAATTTATATTTATAGGGTATAATGTCAATACACTGTTGACGAGTTCCATAATACATTGTATATTATTACCAAAATGTTTGCTTATTGTTCAAATTGAGTAATTATGTTTAATAATGATGATTATCATTATCATCATTATCATCATAGCACCATCTTCACTGTCGTGTAACGAAGAGACCTGAGACCCTGGCTAAAGCTTCTTCGGCCTGTCTCCCCATAGAGGCTGGATCCAGGTAAAGCCCAGTGGGAACTGAGCAAAACCCCCCACCGTAAGCCCAACCAATTCAGCGTTTTTGGGGGCGTTTTAAGGGAGCCCATGAATTAAGCCAGTGAGAGATCATACGGCACTGCATCTTCAACCTCATTTTCATCACCACCATTATCGTTATTTGATTGGCCATGCAATCGTTATTACTCGTTATTGTTATTATGGGCCTCATGTATTTAAGTGGATCATAAGATCACCTTAATTTAAAATCTAGGCCTATCAAATAGTTAAAATAGAAAGCATTTACCAAATCCAAGTATACGGCAGATTAGTAAGTAAACATGGCCAGGTTCTATTCAGGTCCTTTTCAATATCCTTATGAATGAAAATGTTTACAAGTTCATATACATGCATGTAGCAAACTAACACTAAAATATTAAAAAAAAAAAAAAAATATATATATATATATATATAATATATATATATACATACATCATATATATGTATGTACAGGTATATATAATATATATACATATACATATATACATACACATACATACATATACATATATACACATATATACATATAATAATAATAATAATAATAATAATAATATGTCGTTCTTATATAGCGCTTCATGCCTTTACAAGGCATGAAATAATAAAGCATTTACCAAATCCAAGTATACGGCAGATTAGTAAGTAAACATGGCCAGGTCCTATTCAGGTCCTTTTCAATATCCTTATGAATGAAAATGTTTATATACATGCATACATACAAATGTTCATATACATGCATGTAGCAAACTAATACTAAAATATTTTTTTTATGAATATACATACACATACATACATATATATATATATA